GCCCCCCCGACAGGACTAAGAACGGGGCTCTCGCGATCGCCCCCGTCGTCCGGGCGCCGCCTGAAACCGAATGTCTGTAAAGATCTGACCTCCTCCTCCTCCCCTCGACGACCCGGCGACATCGGGCGGCGCGACGGGCCCCCGCCTCCTCGAATTCGCTAGAGGCGCACTAGCTGGCCGCCTCAGGACAGCGCGTCCACGTACGCGCCGAGCTCCTCTTCCAAGTGCCCCGCGGGCGCTTGGCCGATCGTCGTCGAGGCGTCCATCAGCTCCGTCGAGCTGCGGAACGGCCTCCGAAGGTCGGGCGACGGGATGGCCAGCGCGATCTTGATCTGCTTCTCGTCGCAGCACCGTTCCAGGCGGCACGCGCGGCATATCTGCGCGATGTCCCAGGGTTCATTGCCCTTCCACTGGCCCATCAAAGCTTCTTGCCCCGTGCGATTCGCGGCGCCGGTTTCCATATCCAGCGTCGTCTTTGCCAGATAGAGGACTCCGTGACTGCTGGCGGCCCGAGGCTGCGGCCTCTGCCCTCGTCCTTCACCGCGGCCGCGCGCGCGGCGCCTGCGTTCTGCGTGGCCTGCGCGGCCACTCTTCTGCTTCCCACAGGGTGCGCGTTGTGGAGTTGGCCCCTGATCTCGCGGAGCTGCTTCGCGTCGATGAAGAACTGTATCGACATGGCGAACAGCATGGCCGTCAAGCCTGCGTCGGCTACCAACGCCTCTTCGGCTTGTCCTTGCTGCGCCCCCCCCGCGCCTCGGCGGACGCGTGACCTCGGCGCCCTTCGCTGCGCCCTGCTCCGAAGAGTCGCTCTTCCGCCTGCGCCGGCCGCCCGCCGGGGCGCCCGGCGTGCCCGCGCCCATCAGCATCGAATGCCAATCAGGGGTCGCCATCGCCAACCGCGGCGAGGATCTCTTCAGCTGGTGGCGCTGGAAGTCGAGCGTAAAGATGGCGCTCCAGCTTTGAGAGAGTCTCAAGAAGAACGGCTCCGGAGCACGTGGAGCACGTTCTGTCTGGAGGCTCGATCAACTCATATGGTAATATCGCACGCGTCGTGTAACATCGGGAATCATTCCAGGACTCCTTCAAGCGCGTTAAAGTTTCAGCCCTCGGGTGAAAAACTGCGGCGCGCACTAGACAACGAAAGTAACGAGTCAGAACGTAAACGCAATCCTCCGACCACGCTCGCCACAAAGACAATCGCAACGCTGTTGTGTCATCCACCCTTCACGTGTCTTAGCGCGGTGTCGGCAAAGAGCTCCTCCCTCAATCCTCAACCCGCACGCGTTGTCACCCTCAACCTCGGTCACGATGGCAGGCGGTGGTGGCGGCGGCGCGGTGGCCTGCGGTGGAGCAGCGACTCGAATGAATTTGTTCCAGCAGTCGACGCTCGTCGACGCTCGGGGCCTGGGCTGCGTTCTCCTGGAAAAGCGCAGCGGCCATCCGATCCTCCCAGGAGTCGTTGAAATTCCCAGACTCATCGTCCTCGGCTAAATCCTGGAGGTCATTGGAAAACTGGCGGGCCCAGTGGTTCGCATTAGAGCCCGCCTTGACGCGGTCGTCGACGACCGTCGGCGGGGCCGCGGGTCAACCCCCATAGGGTTTGCTACATCACGTTCTCGTTCAAATCGACACCTCCCAAAAGGATGACCCGCCACAAGCGAAACAAATGCTGATATCGCAGAGCATGTTTGCGCCAAGAGATCCGTTGAACTTTCAAGGCGAGAGAAACAACGGCTAGGTCCCAACGCTTCAAAACCTCTGAATTACTCAACTGTGTTTGCTTTTGTTTGTGACCGCTCGGGTCGGTCCACGAAGCAATGCCTTGCGTCGCGCATCTAAGTTCTCGGGTGACTCCAAACCGCTCGGGTTCGCACTTTTGTTTCTTTTTTTTTGTTTATATATATATCTATATATATATATAACAAGAAGAGCAGACGTTTGAACTCTGTCGGGGTCTGGAAATGTAGTCAGGCCTCAGAGCACGCGCGCCGTCCAATAGACATGCAATGCAAACGCTTGACGGCATCTACTGTGCCAATGCGCGGTTGGGTAGTCCACCCTCCCATGTGCCGGCGACGCGGGGGGAAGCGCGCATGGTGGCCGATCATGCTTAGCAAGTCGGTGGGCGTACTGGCGCGTGCCGAAAGGGACAATCATTTCCTCAGTTGTTCTGTTCTGCTGGTAAGCCCCTCTCTGCAGCCGCGCGTCAAAAGCGCCGCCCTCCACGTTCAGCGTCGCGACGAACCCCTCAGGGGTGCAGGGCGACAACATCGCCATGCGAAAAAAAGGTCATCGAGGAAACCCGCAAGGCCGGGGTCGATGTCGCCAAGGCCGAAGCAGTTCGTGATCATCCAAGAGGCCGATGTCGTAGCAGCCTTTGATGTTCGCCAGCGCTCCACCAGCGCGTAATAATCCCCCATGGGTAGTCCCGGTTCGTCGCTGCATCCCACGGGGCCGCCGCAGCCCATGCGCAGCCAGAGATCTGCGTCAAAACTCGTAGGCGTGCTCGTAGATGAGTTCGCCGTTGTCGGAACAGCGGTTGAAGATGTGGCGGCTCGAACTCGCTGACCTGGTTGATGCGGCGCGCGCGGGCCACGTGCGAAGGCGTTCGTCGAGTCATGGCTTTTCCCCGAGCTATTCTGCCTCGCCGACTTGGCTTTCCAGAAGAGCACCCTCGGGATGGAAATGGCAGCTTCGCGACGCCGCTGGGGGAAACCTCCCCAAACCCAGCGCGGCGGGTCGTAGGCGGCGCACTCGCGCGTCAGCAGGGCGCGGAAGAAACACCTCCAGCAACCGAGCATGGCGCGAATGAGCCTGCAACACGACGCGGCCGCGCCCGCCGCTGAGAACGGCAGGTGTTCGGTGGGTTGTGTTTTGGCAAGGGCGTGAAGGGCCTGGCCCTGGAGAGGATGCATACCTCGCTCTGGTTGGCGACGAGCGGCGCAGCACCTGTCCTGCAAATGTGGATGTGGATGCGGTAAAGGCGGTGTGTTGCTTCTCCTGCGTGCTCGATGCCCTCCAGGGGGACGATGCGGCGCCCGCGTGATCAGAACTCATCAGTAGCCGCTTCGCGGATGCTGCCTTGGTGAAAGTGGAACCCCTCAGGCGCGTGCAAGTCGCCGATGGAGCTACTGGGTCGGGCTGGTCGCGACATGTAATTCGAGTTCGCTATCGCGATGAAGAACTCCGTCGAAATGTTCCAGTCTGGTGCGTACCTGCGTCGCTTGGCCCGATGTAATAGGCGAACTGTGCGTTGCATCTGCTCTCATGCTTCATCCAGTAGTGTCTGATCCGGTGGTTCGGGATGTGCGCCGTGAGGGGCGAGAATATCTTCAGGGTGGCGAAATTCCCGTTGAGGAGGGGCGTAAGTGGCCAGGATTTTTTTCTCGTGGCCGTCATTCGAACGCCAACTCGACCATTGGCGTCGGGACAATCTGAACCGACTGCCACATCGGGTCCGTGCGGATTGCCCAGGTACGCTAAGAGATATTGCTATCAGAAATCGTGGGGCACATTCTTCGTCTGTCTTTGTGGGCCCTACTGCGTGGTGCCCCAGAGCGTCTGTGGGTCCTTGGGGCCATCGGGGGATAGGAAATTCCTTGGGGCACTAGCTGGCAGGCCGATCGCTTGCTTGATGTGACTACCGCACGTTGGCTGATGTGCCTATACTGTACTTCACTTCGCCTCCCGCGTCGGGGGGGTATTCTCCCCCCTTCTTCCGACCCGAGAAGAGCATCTGGGAAAACCAACAGGCACCGCTACCACTACCCCCCGGACATGTCCTGGGGCGCCCTCTGACCAGGATTCCGAGACGAACCCAGCGGTGTCGACGAGGGCCTCCGTGGGGGTGGATCCTGTGGGCGCCATCGTGAGCTTCATCGGCGCCTCTCGGATGCCCACGAACAAAGACGAGCGCGGCGAGGATACTCTCTTCGGGCGATTGCCCCCGCCATCGCGACGCCCCCCAAAAGGAGAAGACGAGGCAAGGGTAGCGGTATGGGTACACGTACTTTACTAATCGTGCTCATTTCTCATGATGTTCGTTTCTAGTTGTTCCTGGCCCCCTAGCGGCCAGGAAGAGGCCCGAGATAGAACCCTTAGAAATGAAAGGATCTTGGCCCCCCCAAAAAACAAAGACCTCTTCGAAGAATTAGAAACGAACAGTGTGTAGATCTTCCTCCTCTGGGAGACGGGGCAGCAGCGCAGAGAGGAGGTGCCTGGAAGGCGGGAGCGCCAGACCTGGCTGGACCACGCCACGCCCTCGGGCGCGGGAACCTACTTTTAAGTCGGGCCTGTCCCCCTACAGGGGGGCTTTCAGGAACACATGAAAAAATAGTAATTAAAAAATGCACCAAACTTGCTTTAAAATGCTCAATAAATCGTCCCCTGACTATTGTTTGACTATTTCTTAAAAGATTCCTCCTGTAGAGGGACAGGCCCGATTTAAATCTACAGAAGATCGTTTATCCGATCCCCATCCCCAGCGGCGTGGCCTGGGCCCCACTGGCCGATTTACCCCCCCAGATGGGGATATAGGCCGTTCCCTTCGGGTTTCGAGGGGTGTATCTCCAACTGGGGTGGTGATTTGGCGGGGGCCTCGACGAGGATGGGGATGGGGGTGGGGATCGGATAAACGATACTGATCTACCGACCCGGGTCAATCCTAACCCGGGCCACGCGAGCTTTGCAGGATCCTGCAAATCCCTGCAGGGTTCTGCAAGCCCGGGTCAATGCACCTCTGGCTCTGCAGGATCCTGCAAGATCCAGCGCTCTGACTGACCCCCTTCACATTGACCCCCGTCTCTTGAGCCCCGAGTGCTGGCCTGTGAGGCCGCCAGGCCATCCAATGGCTTTTTCAACCTGGGGATCCGCAAAGACGGAGCGGAAGACACCCCCAGCCAGCCCCTGGCTCGACCCTGGTCCTGACCCCCCACGACGACGCCGACGACAACGACGACAACGACGCCGCCGACGCCGACGACGAGGCACGGACGAGGGACCTGGTTGGGCTGCAGGCCGCACGCCTCCATCTCGTCGATCGCCATCCAGAGCTCGTCGTCGCGGCCGCTCCTCGCCGAGGGGGGAATTCGAGGCCAGAGGCGGGGCCCCAGAGGCGTCGGGGGCTGCCTCCGCCCGCGCCCTGAGGCGCGGTGACCTGGCTGGCAGGTCCGTGAGTGGCGCGCGGGCACGGGGGAAGCCGCCTGGGCATGATCGCGTTGCAAGCAAAAATCTCGACTGGAGACCGGCGCGGAAGCTCCCTGGAGCCCGCCCCTCCCCCCCCCTGGAGCGAAACCCCTGCAGAACCTCAGAATGTTTTTGTTTGTGCACGGGTTGCCTTCCCCGGAGCCCGAAGGGGTGGGGGGGGACCTTGGGTTTCTATTGTGGTCTCCGGGGGCCCGGCACTTACATATTTGTTGTTAAAAACAATCAAACAAACAAACCAAAACAACACACACACACACACACAAAAAACACCAAAAAACAACTACGAGACACTCGAGCTTTGTTTCTTTAATTTTTCGGGGGGTCTTAGGGGCGGTCCAACAAACTCTCCAAATGGCCATTCGGGAAAAAACGAGATCCCCCCATTCGGTTCTGTGTTTGTTTTTGCATTTTGTTTTTAGATTGTGTTGTTCGCTGTTCTTTCTGCGTTTTTGTTGGTCCCCCCCAGGGGGGATTCCCCGAAACAAAACCACTCAGGGCTTTCTCGTTGCATGTTTGGGGGTCGCTCGGACGTTTTTCGAGGGTTCTCCTGCCACCTGACGCTTTGGATTTTTCCGAAGGTGGAGATTGTTCGGGTGCTTTTCGGGGGTTCTCTGGCCACCTCAGGCTCCGCTCCGGGGGTGGGGAGGGAACCATAACAAAAACCTACTCGGACAAATTTCAAGTGTTTTTCGAAGGTTCTCGGGCCACCCCAGGCTCCGGGGGGAAAAACCCTATTAAACACATAAATCCACTCAAAGGTTTCTCAGGCGCTTGTATCACATGCCACCCCAAGCTCCGGGGGGGGGGGGGAAATCGCCACTCGGTGTTTTTTCTGTGTTTTTCGGGTCGTCTCCAGCCACCCCGGGCTCCAGGATGAAAAACCTAAAATGGTATGGTTTTGTTTCGATGGTTTCCGTGGGCTCTCCAACGACCACAGCCTCGGGGGGGGGGGGAAGCCCAAAACAAATTCCGAGCAATTGTTCTAACATTTTTCAACGGCTCCCCGTAGGCTCCGGGGGGGGGGAACTCAAGCAAAAATCCCCGACCGGATGCTTTTCGGTCGGTTTCCGGAGTTTCTCCGGCCACCCCAGGCATCGAACCCTTCCTCGTCCTGCCTTGGGGGAACAAGAAAGGGACATAAACATAAAAACTCGGAGGTCCGCGCAGATCTCTTGGATCGGCGCTGGACCCCCCTCCCTGGCGCGCGGAGCGCGCCAGGGGCGGCGCCGGAGGCGCCCCTGGGGGCCCCAGCGCCGATCCGAGAAACCCGCGCGGACCTCCCAGGTTTTACGTCTATGCCACTTTTTGTTCCCGTATCCCTGACCCCCTTCCCGTTGAGGCGCCCCTGGCCAGGCGAGGGAGCTGGCGCGGCTACCGAGAGAGGGCAGGATGGGGAGCAGTCGGGCGCATCTTTCTGCAGCACGCGCCCAGCGCCTGTCGGACTACGGCGGCCTCCGGAGGTCTGCACGGCGGTCGCCCGCAAGAGAGCTGCACGGCCACGCTCGGCAGGGGCTCCGCGGACGAACGCGCACCCTGCCGAGGTCGGGATCCCTGCCCGGGCCCTCTGCCCTCCCGCTCTGCTTCGCGTCCTCTGGGGGCGACCCGCCTGTCTCGTCCTTCCCTGGGCGCGTCCTGTCCCGGCCTTCGTGGTGCACTCGTGTGCGTACCCGGCGTTTCCTCCGTCCGTCGCGACGGTGTGCGCGCTCCTCCTGCTCCTCCGCGATGTTCCCTGTGAAGAGTTTCTCCCTGTCGCACCACCACACGGAAGACTGCATTGCACTGTTTTGAAGGAGCACGAAGAGATGCCAAAACGAAGTGCCAGAATCGGTGTCTGAATAAACAGAACCCACATCTCGTATGACATCGCCCATGCTTGCCAACCTGTTTTCGCTGTCGACGTCGCAGGACGGGCTTGCCATGCAAGGGCGCCTTGTAGCATTGATGGCACGAGCTCCCCAGCAAGTGGATCAAGCACCATGCTGTGGGCACTCGCTAAGACAATTCCCAGTACGAATCATCGACAACGGCCGCGTGTGTGACAGGATATGGAGATCACCCAGTTGATCGTCTGTATCTGCGGGCTCTTCCTGTTGACAGAACGCCTCGCATCGACACCCGCCAATCAATCATGTCGCGCGACTTCTTCGCCGTGCATGACACTCTAGATAGGAAGTTCGAGCAGCTAGAGGGATGCAGGGGGGATGCCTTTCAATGTGTTTTGCACGAGAGCGCCCTTCACTGTACAGTATCGAATATCGCAACAACTATATGAGGATGAAGAGCAGTCGATTATCTGAATAAGGCTCTCGCTTTAGCGCCGCGCAAACTCGGTTTAAACTTTCACAGCTGCTCCTGCCTGGACGCTGCGCACACTCTCGCTAATCATGCGTACTGGTTAAAGGATAAAGGGCCGCTCCTTCTCATTATGGGTTCTCGTTTGAAACGTCCCCCAAAAACCCACCAACCACTTGAGCGTAGGTGATCCAACGATGTCTCTCGTCCAAAACTCCCTTCCCGCGTGGGGGGGGGTACCCTCCGACTCCCTTTCCTAAGGTTTGTTTGGGCGGGCCGCGATCGGTCAGGGAGCCAATGATGGCCCATGATGGCTCCAATGAGGCCTCCCCCATGTTCCAATGCGGCCTCCAAGGCGGCTCAACATACTCGAAGATTGTTCCAGATAGCTTCCAGCACCTCCAGCAAACCCGACGAAGGCCCCACGACGGGACCAAGTGCCCGCCGACCCCCCCCCCCAGAGTCCCACCAAGAGGCATCCTTCAAACACAAATTCAAAATCAATGAGTGTTGCCTTCACGCCTTTTTCGCTTCCGATGCGTTGTTGGGGCCTCGAGATTGCCTCAAGAAGGCCCAAGGGAGGTCCAAGAGGGGTCCAAAAGGCCCGCAAAACTGCCCCACGAACGCCTAAGACCAGCCCGGGAGCGCCCCGAGAGGCGACTACCCCCAAGGGGCAAGGGGAGACGGCCACGTAAGACACCCCCTCCTTTTGATGAGTCGCACCCAAGATGGCTCCAAGAGGCCCTCCAGGGCCCCCAAGAGGGCCCCAAGGGAGCCCCAAGAGGGCCCCCAGAGGGCCTCAAGACGGACCCACGATCGCCCAAGTGCGTCCAATGAGTGACCCAAGATGCGGTGTGTCTCCTCCTCCTCCTCCTTCTCCTCTTTCTCCGCGCCCCAGCCGCGGGCCCCAAGGATGACCAGAAGAAGCCTTCCAAAGCTACCCCCTTGCTCCCACAAATATCCCTGTTCATCCTGCTTGCCCGCTCTGTTTCACTATATGTCTCTTCGTTCCTTCTCCTGGCAGCTCTCATATGCAGGCTTTCTAAACGGACTGGCGGGTTTTTCGTGATCGCGACCGCGTCGAGAGAAGTCGGGCGGCGTCAAAGGCGCAACGAGCAAGCGGCGGCCTGAATTACGCGCGCCGAGAAGGGACACCAGGTGGGGATACGCGAAGCGAGAAGAATTCATAGCAAGAAATTTGAATCCATGTACTCGTAACAGCAACGAGGGATAACGGCAGTTCAGTTTCAAAACGGGTTTGTCGCTCAAGACTTCCTCGCATATCATGGCGACACAGGCAAACATGTCCGCGCTTTCGTCTCGCATTCCATGCAACCTGCTAGAAGAATGCACGGCAATCCCTCTTCCATCCCGCGACCTCGGCAGGGCCAGGTGCTCGCCTTTTGAAGCTGCGCTCCTTGCGTAGCAAAGGGCAGGCGAGCAGGGACTCACGGGGAGAGGACTTGGGACGGGAGGGCGGGTTGCAGCATCGCTGATTCATCCTGGGCTAACTCTTTTTTGCCCGGCGCGCGCTGACCGAACGTCCATAGCGCCGAAGCGCCGTGCCCAGGACAGGCCACCTGCACCGAAATCGGGGCGGGAAGGGAAGGCCCCCACGACCCCGGACAGCACATGGGAGTCCGCGGCAGCGGGATGGTGGAGGGCGTTGCCTCCTCGAACGTCATCGGCAACGCTCACCTCAGACCAGGAGGTACCACTGACCACTGTGTGCACCCTAGCGGAGCGGGTGGGCCCAGGCAGCACGGCTTGCCCACCGTGGCGGGTACCTTGAAAGTTCCCCGGCCTGACGGCTGGGGTAATTTTTCTGTTCTACCCGTCGGTCGGATAAAGTAGGTGAACACATGACCTAGGAAGGCGGACCAAGTAGATTGGGTTAGGCCAACAGGCACAGCACAATCATATCGGTTCTTGAAATCGGAAGTCGCATGAAGTCGTTTGGGATATGGGAACACACACAAACACCTACACCCAACGACCAGCGTGTAGTCCTCCTCCTCCTCCTCGTCTTGTTCCTCGGGTTCCCATCCGATCGTCCTCCTTCAAACTCATTTTCTCATCTTTCCTGCCCTCGTCGTCCTCGCCCTCGTCCCCCTATGCCACCCACCACTCGCTCTCGCCATCCTTCCTGGCATTGCCCCCGGACACCCTTGCACCTGCACTGTCCCCCGGGGACTCCTGCATCTCAGATGCTCGCGCTGGGGAACTTTCTGGGGCAACTCGCTTCACTCATGCGTCGATGCTGTGTCGCGTCGGATGTCCGTCGCCTTGAATCAAATTTGAGCCGCACTGAGTCGAACTCGAGTCGACTCAAGAGTCGAACTGGGGTCGATCTAGATTCGAACAGATCCGCTAGCCCGACCCCAAGAAGGGTCCCCAAACCAGCACCTAGTGCATCTGCCGCCGTCCAAGATAATGCTTGATACCCTCTCAGGCAAGCCGAGTTCGCTCCGCTCACTAACCTCTCAGACATCCCGGCAGGATAACCACGTGGCACCGACGTCTGCACATATACCACCAGATGAGTCCGGCCTTCCTGAGGCTAGCATCGATGAGCTCGTTGAAAGTAACCACCTTGGCACGCCACCGCAGATTTCGCAGGCCATGGGGTGCTGAAACACTGCTGCTGATGCTGCTGTGCACCCGCCTGCTCACGCAACCGATCTCGCATTCCGCTCGTGCAGTTCCATCTGCCTGCAGCGGCGGCGCTCATGCACGCCACGAGAAGACCGACATGACTCCAACCACTGCGCCAAAGCGGCCTGCGACACGGAAAGGGTACGGAAAGCCGACCTCCCGAAGTCCTTCCGTCCCTATTCGTTCCTTCCGTCCCTCTTTGTCCTTCCTGTCCTTCGCTACTGGCTTGCTGTCCTCTGCCTCCTCCTTGCCCCCTGGCCCTCGCCACACAGCTCTCTTTCCGTGCCTTCACCGGTGGAGCTGCTCACGGGCCGCCAGCCCCGCCTCGAGCACCGATGGGCCGCTGCCTTCGTCGACTCCCCGCGGCACGCGGGACTGATGACATGCTCGCGCTGATCCCGGAGGAGGTGGACGAGGAGTGGCCTCAGGATCAGGGGCCTCCAACCCAGGGCGTCACCGAGGCGGCTCCTGCACCCAAAGTGCAGCGCGGCCAGCGGAACGCAAATCCGGCGTATCAGCACCACCACCCTGGGGCTCCCGCCCGGCTCCCGTCCTGCTGCGGGGGACCACGGCCCCCGAAGACACCCCCCGCCTCCGAGAGGCACGGACCGCCAGCCCTGGCAGGGGACCCGATGCTTATGAAGGGCTCCCAACTTCACGCTTCGCGCTGTGCGAAGCGCGAAGTGCGAATAACTTCGCGCTCTCGCGCCGCCTCCCGAGGGAGAAGGGGAAGATGAGGAGGAATCGGAGCCGAACCGCGAAGCGCGAAGCACGAATAACTTCGCGCCCTCGAGTGCGCCCTTGCTTATCCACAATCCCCACAAACAAGCTGGGCCGTGGAGCGGGGGGTGCGCACAACGATGGCATCTCCTGGGGGCGCGGCCTTTGTAAACCAGCAAGCCGGTCCGGCACACTGTACGCGCGCATGGGCGGAGGTCATCAATCTGCCTCGGGCCTGGGCTCCCCGCCATCCCCCCGCCCGCCCCGCCTCCAGTCCCCCCCTCCCTCCCTCCGGTCCCTGGACCTCCTCCTCCTCCTCCTCCTCCTCCTCCTCCACCTCCTGCTCCTCCTCCTGCTCCTCTCAGTGGCCGTTGGCGCGCTGCGCGGCAGACTCCTTCAGGCTGTGTGCTCCTCCTTCTCCTCCGCCCCCTCAAGGACGACTGCGGAGGCCTCGGAAAGCCCATACGACGCCGCAGTCACCAAAAGCCTGGACGCCAAAAAGTCCAGAAGCATGGGCCCTGTTCTCGGGCGCGTGGTAATGGGGGGTGACCTAAGCGGGGGTGAAAAACAATGGCCCTTGGAGGGGCTCCTTCTGGGTGCCCCTTTCCTCCACCCCCCATTTCAGCCACGCGCCCGATCTTCCCCCTCCCCCCTTCCCTCGCCCTCTCCCTCCCTCGTTCTCCTCCATGCCCCCCTTCGTCTCCCTCCTCGTCCCTTCCCTCGCCCTCTCCCTCCTCGCCCCCCCTCTCTCGCCCTCTCCCCCTCCCTTCCCTCGTCCTCTCCCTCAATCTCGTTCTCTCCCCCCCCCCTCTCCTCCCCGAGGCCGCGGACCCTGCACCCCGCGGCGTCCTCCCGGGGGCCGGCCTCCCTCTGGCGGCCCCCCGTTTGGGCCCCCCCCCCCGCGCCCGAGCCTGGGGCGGCGAGGCCTCCCCGCCGGCCCGCCGGCAGGTCGCGGGGCGGCCTGCCCGCGGGCCGCGGGGAGCGGGCCGCGCGGGACGGGGCGGCGGAGGCAGGGCGGGAGCGCGGACCAGCGCCGCGGGCCCCGCCCTGGGCGATCGAGGGGGGGAAGCGAGGATAGACAAGCGCGTTCCGCTGCTCGCAGAGCCGCTACTCGCCAAATGGCATGGATCCGCCATGGGAGATTCACGATACATCACATCTATGCAGGCCTGTGTTTTTCGTTGATGTTTGGGGGCAGGCACTCTGCGAGCAGTGGAACGCGCTCGGTGAGAGAAGGAGAAGGCCTTCTCAGAAGGCCTGCGGGACTTCTCAGAAGCCCTCGCGCCTTCCGAGAAGTTCCTGTTTTGGGTCTTCGGGGGAGGCTTAGAATACTCCTCAGAAGGCTGGGGGGGGCTTCCGAGGCCCCCTGAGAAGGCCTTCTCCTTCGCACTTCCCCCCCTCGCTCGCCGCCGACCCTCGGGGCAGCGCAAGCATCGGGGAGGGGGGAAAGGGTGGCACAGCAGAGGGCAGGGTTAAGTCGGGCCTGTGATCCTACATGGGGATTTTGAAGGACAATTTTACAATATCCTTCAAGCATACACGTAGTTCAACAATAATCAAGCAATGGCGCCCAGTTGTTTGACTATTTTTGAATATTCCCCCTGTGCTGGGACAGGCCCGACTTAAGGGTAGGGCAGAGAATCAGCTCACGTATCTGGTTTTCCGCCGCCTCCTGGCGCGGGGAGGCGCCCATGCATAGAGAGAAGGGCACGGCGGCGGGGCCGGCCGAAACGGGCTGCACGCAGCAGATTTCGCCCCCCCCCCTTCCCAATCCAAACTGAAGTCGGGCGTGGGGGCTTTTGGACGAAAGTATAACAAAAGTCAAAACATACCCCAAAATGGTCAAACAAAAAATCAAAAAAAATCGTCCCCATATTATTTCTGGACTGTTTTTGAATATACGTCCTGTAGAGGGACAAGCCCCACTGAAATCCAAACCTTACGCCCCCGTTGATCTCAGGGTCAGGATGATGAGTTCGGGGTTCCGGCGCGATGATTAACGTTTCCTGGCAGGTCGCAGCATAAAGGAGGAGAAGGAGGTGGAGGGGGAGGAGGAGGGGGAGGAGGAGGAGGAGCGAGAGGAATCTTTCGAAGTGTACAAATGCACGGAGCGTCTCATGGTATAACGATACCGTGCTCGCTCTTGCAGGGCCTCCCTGGAGGGGTGGGAGGAGTAGAATTTCCTGAAGACTACGGTATAGCAATAACGGTCTCGCTTAACGCATCCTCACAAACAAATAAATGTGCGTTTCGCCTGAGAGATCCTCCCCTCGCGACCTTGGCAAATGACGAAAGTAGTGACATCAATGGTGATGATGCTGCTGATGATGAGGATGATGATGATGCTGCTGCTGATGATGATGGTGATGACGATGATGATGATGATGATGATGATGATGATGATGATGATGATGATGATGATGATGGTGGTGCTGCTGATGATGATGATAAAGATGATGGTGATGGTGATGGTGATGCTGCTGCTGACGATGACGATGACGATGACGATGATGCTGCTGCTGATGATGATGATGATGACGATGCTGATGATGATGCTGATTATGTTGACGGTGCTCCTGCTGATGATGATCATCATCATATAACCAGGATGAGGATATTCGATCTACGATGCATGCTTCCCCCAGAGATAATAAAGTTCGGCCCCGCCGCTCCCCACCGCTGACGCAAATTGTCCTGGCCGGGGATTAATCATGAGGACCGTGGGAAGCGGGGGGGGTGCGTCACTATCCGAGGCATGCGGTTACCCTTTCGTCTGGCCCGAAAGAAGGCCGATCGGACCCCTTCGGGGGCACACTGACCAGGGCCAGTTGGGCCTTGCAGGATCCTGCAGCATCATGCAGGATTCTGCAAGGTCCTGCGCGCTGGCCCTGGCCAAAGCAGTCCTGGCATTACAAGATAAACCGGCGCTCTGGCTGACCCCATTTGCATTGAACCCCCGTCTTCGTGGGGAAACAAGGTACCGTCCTCGCGACGCCACGGGCTTTGCCCGGGGTGCGCTCTGACCCTCATGTCGAGGCGAATCCAGCGGTGGCGACGAGGACCTCCCAGGAACAGTCGTTGACTCTTCATAAAATTCGTCGGGAAAAAATGTGAGGACGTCCCAGGAGGCCCAACAAAGGGAAAACGAGGGAAGGGCAGCAGTATGGGTACCTCGTCCTCCTCTGACGCCCCGCTCCCGGGCCCTCCTCCTGCTGGGGCCACCGGCAGGAGAGCCGTCAGCCCCCCGCGCGCGCGCGCCGCGGGAGGGCTGCGCCGGGCCCCAGACGTTCGGGGGCAGCCCCGCGGCCCGCATCGCCTCCGCAGGGGCGCCGGCGCGGGGCGCGTCCCCTGGCTCGGCTACACGCAAGAGTGACCCTCGGTAAGAGCTTAGTGGGCCCTGGAAACGACAGGGCCGTTTTTTTACTGGTTCCGTTTTGCCGTTTTTTTGCCGGTTCCGACGCCGTTGTTTTACCGGTTCCGTCGCCGTTGTTTGACCGGTTCCGGCTCTGGTTCAATCCTGGAACCGTTTTTGTTGTCGTTTCGGGTCGCCGGTTTTTTTGCCGTTTCCATTTTCAAGGGACACTTTTTTGGAAACGGTGAAAAAAAACGGCCCTGCCGTTTCGGGGGCCCACAAGTGGTTAGAGTGACCTTTGGTGCGCGGCTTCTCGGGAGCCGCGGGGAGACCAAACCTGGGCGCGCAAGCCGCTGCTACCGCTTCGTTCTCAGCCATCTGAGGGCCCATCTGCGCCCGCACCAAATGTCACTCCGGCGAAAGGTCACTCTTACGTCTGTAGACTAGTCCCCTGGCTCCCCGCTGCCCTGGCTGCCTCCGGGAGGCGGCCGCGGGCCCCAGGCCCTCCTGCACCGTGAGAAGCCGAGCCGTCCACCTTCGCGCCCTCGCGCCCTATGGGGGAAGGAGTCGAGACTCCGAGTAGTAGGAGGAGGAGGAGGAGGAGGAGGAGGAAGAGGAAGGACAGAGGAGCAGGAGGAGCAGGAGAAGGAGGAGGAGGAGGAGGAGGAGGAGAAAGAAGCAAGACAAGGGAGGAGCAAGACAAGTCGAGACTCCCGGGGGTCTACGCTTTGCGCAGAGGCGAGCTGCAATCTGGGCTTCGGGGGCACTGGTCTTAGGTCGGGCCTGTCCCCCATACAGGGGGGATCCTAAACGAAAAATGAAAAACATCCCAGACTAATCAAAACGTGCACAACAATTGTCAAAACATGGTCCCCAGGATATTTTAAACCCATGTTTGAATATTCCCCCTCTAGAGGGACAGGCCCGACTTAACATGTGTCTTCTCGTTCCCAAAGCCACGGCGTCGCGGGTCTGGGGAAAAAGAGCAGGGCAAAGGTTTTGAAATGAGTACGGGCCTCCTCGGGCGCCCTCGTGCCACTCCCTGCAGAAAGGCGAGGAGGAGGAGGAGGAGGAGGAGGAGGAGGAGGAGGAGGAGGAGGAGGAGGAGGAGGGAGGAGGAGGAGGAGGAGGAGGAGGAAGGAAAGAGGAGGAGGAAGGAGTGAGGAGCAGGAGGAGCAGGAGAAGGAGGAGGAGGAGGAGGAGCAAGACAAGGCATGAGCGAGGAGGCGTGAGCCGAGAACGCAATGAAGGCTTCCGCCTGCCAACCGCCAGCCAGGACGAGAGGAAGATGCACCAGCCTGGGCTGGGCACGACTTGCCGAGAGGAGGTCCCTTCACGTCCTTTTGCGGTCCTGCGGCGCCCATGGACAGAACCTCTGGATTCTAAGGACGAATCATGAAGCGTGTTTTGAAAGAATTGCAATTTCGATGCGAGGAGCCATTTTCCAGCCCTGGGGTCCGCAATAAGAAACTGCCCTGGATAAAACAAGTATGGCATCGGAGGTCCAGGACACTCGACTTGCTCTTGGGGCAGGGTCCCAGGGTGGGCGCTCAGTGATCTGCGCCCGCTCCAGGGGGGTACGCTCCAATATTTGTCCCTGGCGAGCTTCCTCCCCCGGACATCGGACAGTGCAGTGGCCGTGTTGAACGCACACAGCCCGGCACCGTGCCTCTGGCACTGCAATGGGAGTGTCCCGGGGCGCATATTGGTCTCTAGTACCAGAGTGCTGGCAGCTTTGGGCCAGGACGCCACGAACGCTTCCTGGCACCCTTCGGGGCATTCCCGCGCGCTGCAAGGGATTATCGCGTAACGTCTCCTGGAAGGAGCCGAACTCTATACACCGACGCGTGTTCCAGGCCTGCTCTGAAACTTGCAAACAATAAAGCGGATCCTGGTGTATACGGGATGCTGGTGTATCTCTTTTTCGTTGTTTCCACAAGAGAACGGGACAACAAATATACACCACACCAACCCGACGTCGTCCTCGACCATCAAAAAATCCTGGGATTGAAAAACAGCCCGCCACTGGTAATGTATAGGTTCCAACATCCGACCTGGGGCCCAAACGTGCGCCATGATGGCCACAAGACTCCCGTGTAGGTGCTCCCGTCCAAGACTGTACAGAACGTGCGGTCGCGCATGGGCCCCGGGCCGCAGGCAAAGGCCTTCTCGTCGTCGGGGCAATCGCCGTCGCCTCTGCCGTCTTCTCTTAGGTCGGCGACGGGGCCGACTGTGCCCTCTCCAACGCTCGCGAGTCTGCCCTTGCTATAGCTGGGGCCTGCCACGCCGGGGCCCGCTGTCCGGGGGGGGGGCCATGAGTGGCTCTGGCCCGAGGTGTCCAAAGCTTGTCGCGCCATGTCGGAGCTCCTGGGGCCCTCTAGGCCTAGTGAGGGATTCGACTCGACGCAAGAGTGACCTTTCGCCGGAGTGACCTTTGGTGCGGGCGCAGATGGGTCCCCAGATGGTTGAAAACAAAGCAGTAGCAGCTGGTTGCGCGCCCAGATTTGGCCCCCCCCGCGGCCCCCAAAAAGCCGCGCACCAAAGGTCGCCCTTACCCAGGGTCACTCTTGCGTATAGCCGAGGGATAATGTGGAGGCCACCTCGGCCTCCCCGGGGAATCCTGGGGACACCTCCGAGCCAAGGGCACCTCTTGGCACCACCCGAGCCGTGCTCCCCTCCGCCGCGCGGCCGAGGGGTCGCCGCCCCTCAGCGAGCGTTCTCGGAGGGTGCCGAGCTGGCCCTTTGCGGAGGACTGCGCGCCGCTCGCCCGCAGCGCGGCCGCCAGCTGGCGAGGCTCCCAGGGCGAGGCTCTGGCAGTGCAGGGGGCCGTGCCAGCACCTGCCGCGCGGCTGGCCGCACGCCCGGAGGTCCAGGAGGCGCTTCTGCTCTTCACCACGCCGGCGTGGTAGTCGTTGTGCTGGCATTCGTCGCGTCGCGGCGGGAGGCTGCCCGCCCCTGGGGCGCGGCGCGGCCTTGCCGCCACTCGCCTCTGGGCTGTGAGGGGGCCTGCCCTCCGCGGCTGGTACGGGCGCGAGACGCGGTGCGACGTCCTCAGTCCGTCTCCACCAGGGCGTCCTGCGGCGGCACGCGCGGAAAGGATGGGCGTGAGGGAGGCGGCCTTCTAAGAGGGCGGGGAGCTTCCGTAAGGGCAAGGACCTCCGTATCAGGAGGGAACCTGCCTTCTGAGAATCACCCAGGCATTCTCAGGAGGCCACCCCCATTGCGCCACCCCCGCGTGCGCGCCGCTGAGTCCTGCACAGGCTCCCCCCTGAAGCGCCTGACAATGGAGAAAACGACGCCGTTCATTGACCACGCCATCGTGCAGAAGAGAGCGAACCGCACGGCGTGCAGATAGAAGCCGCCCTCCTGCACGTCCCTCTGGTAGCCGTCGAACCACGTGCGAAGCCTCCTCCTGCAGGTAGGCTTGCCCATTCGCAGCGTGGATTCCTTGACGGTCCTGGGGTATATCTCGCTCTTGCGCCCTTTCCTGGTGGCCGCCTCCCGCGTGCTGCGGCCAGCGCGGCGCCGCCTCGCATCGGCACGGTCGCCCCTGTCCTCGTCCGAGGATCCCGCGCGGTCCCCATCGCCCCTCCTCAGGGGCGGCTCGCCTCTCGGGCTCTCCGCGACGGTGGCGGCGGCCGCCGCGGCCGCCGCGGGAGCGGTGGCCACGTCGTCACCGTCGAGACTCCGCCCGGCGCTGCCCGCGGCGCTCTCGACGGGCGCGGCGCTCTCGCCAGAGGCGCGTGCCTGCTCCGCCCTGCGGCGCGCCGCCGCCTGCTCCAGCGCTCGGTCTGCCAGCCTGCGCGCCGCACCCAGGTCCGCGTCCTCGGGCCGAGCTGGCGCCGCGGAGGCTGCCGCTTCCCTGCCCGCGCTGGCGTCCGCCTCCTGAGCCGCTGGAGCGACGGCCTTGCCCGCGGCAGCCAGCGGTTCGGGCTCACCGGTGCTCGCCTCCAAATGGGCCCCCGCGGCCGGCTCCTCCGCCGCGGCCGCGCACTGCGCCTGCGAGGGCGCCCCTGCGGCCCGAGGCCGCTCGGGGCCGCTCCCCGACGCGCCCGCGGCCGCTGCAATCGCGGCGCCGTCTGCGGGCGCAGGCGCCAGCGTCGGCACCGGCGCCGGTGCCGGCGGAGCTGCGGGCTGGGCCCAGCTGCTCGTCGCATCTGGTGGGCGCACATGCGGCACCGTCGGGTCCCACTGGGGCGGCGGCGGGTCGAAGAACACCTGGCTGTGGAGCTGGTTGTGGAAGGTCTGCACGTGCAGGCTCCGTTGCTGGGAGGCGTGCGCCTGCTGCTGCAGCAGGGCGGCCTGCTGCTCCAGGCGCCGCTCCTGCAGCTGCGACTGGAAGTTCTGCACGTGCATCTGCCGGAGGTAGGCGCTGCGCATGTCCTGCTCGGCGTACTGCATCGGCGCCGCGGTGGCAGGAGCCACGGTCGCTTTCGCCACGGTGGCCGTCGCCACTCGGTGCTGCGGGCCATGGCTGGGCACCGCGTCGGCGAGCCGGATGGACCGCATCGCGGCCGGCTGCGAGGGCCTCGCGGCCCCGATCCGCGGGGCGCCCGCCGAAGCCGCACCGCCCCGCTGCGCCCTGGGCGGCTCCCCCCGCGCCTCAGCGCCCGCCTCCGGGGCCTCGCCGCCCCCCTGCGGCGCCGGGCTCCCGTCGGCGGGCCGCGGCCTCGGGGCCTCGGCGGCGAGGTCTGCGGCGGGTGCAGGCTCGGGGGGCGCGCTGGCGGATGCCGCGTCGGCGCCGTCGCCTCCGCCGCTGGCGCCGTCTGCGGAGGCCTCGGCCTCCAGCGCTGCCTCCAGCGAGGTTGCCGCCGGGGCCGCCGTGTCGGTCAGGGAGCCGCCGCTACTGGGCTGCGAGGAGGAGGCGGCCGCCTCCGCCGAGGCGCTGGGGTCCGCGGTCGTGCCGGCGTCCGAAGGGAGGGCCTTGGACCCCTTGGCCTGCTTGGACGAGCCAGCCTCTCCCTCCGCTTGTCCTCCAAATTTGGCGGTGAACTGCGTCGGGTTCGTCACTTTCCGGCTCTGGATGCCGAGGGCGCGCATTCGCCCGACGTAGTCCAGCAGCTCGTCGATCTCGGCCTTCACAGAATCCGAGATGGAATTCTTCAGGCCCGCCACTAGCGCAGCAACGTCTTCTGCCTGTATGAGCTCTTCGAAGGCTCGCTGCAACCTTGCGGCCCACTGGTATTTCTCGTACTTGTCACGGTCAAAGTTCCGGCACACCTGATAGAACGACACGTCGGCCTGATGTACGTACTCGCTCTTGAAAGGTCGCAACGTCTCGAACAACGACTTCAGGACGCTGAACAGCCAATGCGTCAACGCCTTGTACCACTCCTCCTCCTCCGTGTACTTTGCCAGCAAGGCCGCGTCCACCTTCTCCCCGCTCGGGTGGACGTCCGCTTCGCCAGTGCCCCGCCAGCCAAAGCGGAAGATGAAGGTCCCGCTGTGGTGGAGCTTGGAGAACCCCAGCATGCACTCCTTCACGGTCAGGGCCCAGATCCCCAGCGTCTTGCTCCGAACGTGCACGCCCCTGTACATGACATTCAGGCTCCGCTGCTTGAACATGTTCTTCAGGTACTGCGCGTCGGCACACACCAGGTCGACCGAATTATCCGGGGCCAGGAGGTCGGTGCTCTGCAGAGGCATGATGTCCATCAGCTGCACGGCGAAGCGGTCGCTCTGGAAGGCCATGGCGAAGCCGCCCATCTCCGGCGGCAGCGACACGCCCCAGCCAATGCTGGTAGGACCCAGGATGTGGTCCTGCAGCAGGCAGCTGCTGAAGCCCCCTGGGGCACACCCGATGTCCATGAAGCGGCACTGCGGGACGCCGTACTGCGAGTGCAGGGCGGCGCACGCGTGCAGCGACTCTCCGAGAGTGGTGAAGTCCCGGTGGTCCCAGATCTCCTGCATGACGCCGAAGGACTTGTGAAAGTGTACCATGGTGTCTGCCTCGTTCTGCGTGTGGTCGTCCCACTCGCGCTGGCTGGAGTTGGGGAACATCCTCCCAGGGGGGCCCCTGCCCATGTCGCCCGGGGGCCAGTCCCTGCCGGCACCGGCGCTGCGGAAGCCGCCATGCTGCTTCCTCTGCTGGATCCGCTGCGACGCGTTGAGCCCGCGCGGCCCGCCCATCTGCTGCCGCCCCGGCCCATGCTGCCAGTCGCGCGGCCAGTGGCCCTCCATGGGGCCCTGGCTGGCCGCGCGCGCGCAAGGGGCCGCCCCGCTGGGAGCCGCACGTTGGAGCCAGAAGGCTGCGGAGGGCGTCGCCAAGCAGCAGGCAATTGGCAGAGAACAACGATGAACAAATGAACGACGTAAAGAAAGGAATCGGGTCTTCCGCGAGACGACAAGCGACCCTAACCGGTGGCTTACGCGGGCCGCCAGCGCGGCACGCCACATTGGAAACGAGGGCGCTTACGCGCGACCTTACGCGGGAAATTTCCGTGCCAACGTGCGCGCGGCTCAACCCGTTCTGTTTCGTCGCTCAGGTGGCAGCGGAGGGTGCGCTGCAAAACTGCCTGCGGCTCTGCTCAGGACCTTCGGGGTGCGGGCAGTGGGCGGCAGGCAGAAAACAGGGTACCAGGTGGCCGGGAATGACAACAGACAGTGGGCAGCGCCCTGCGTTACACTTCGCTGCCTCGAATGAAATTGCGTCCACTTGCTCCCCAGAGCAAACACCCCGTCAGACGGGGAATCCTCTGTGGTCGGTCGGGCGATGGGGATTGCACACGCACGCGCACACATTTCGATGTGTCTATTCACTCTGGTCTTGATCTTGTCTCCTCCGTCTCTGTTCCTCCTTATCCTCCTGGCTGCTCCTCCATGGGCAGTGCGCTGCGCTCTGAGAAATTTCCCTCGCTGATTTGGTCTGCATCCCTGGCAGGGCACGGGCGGCATGCAGGAGGTCTTACGCGGGACTGATCAAGGACGCCTACCCGCTGCCCATTGTAAGAACAAATATACCACATCAACGCTTGTGTGGAGGAAGGAGGATTAAAAGGACGAGAAAAGGGCAGATCGAGGATAGTGTGAGGGAACACTTGCGAAAGGCGACGATCGATGCGAATTCGAAGGCTTGACGGGCCAAAGGCGTCCTAACATCTCGGGTAAGAGGTTCAGAAAGTTCGTGCACTGCTAATTCGCACGCGCGGGGTGGCCCCTGGGGTTCCCCAAACGAAAAGCACCCCGCAACACGACCGGACGACTCCTGGACGACTCGGTTCAACGATGGTGCTCGTCCTGGACGCGGCCTTCACTGTGCCCAGCCCGTCTGCTCGAGAGGGCCGCAGGGCAGCCCATTTAAGGGGCCCCCAAGAGGCCCCCAGGAGGGCTCAAGAGGCCCGAAAAGATGCCTCCAAGAGGCCCCCAGACGGCCCCAAGAGCCTCCAGAATGCCTCCAATAGGCCTCGCAATAGACTCCAAGAAGCCTCCGAAATAGGCCTTGTGTCCACTCCACGACCCAGACATGCTGGGTTGTTGAGGTTTGGCCGAAGGTTACTAGATATTCACTAGATACACTGAGGGCAAAAAATCTGGCCCCAATGTGCCACCGACACAGCCCCGACATGCCTCATGGGGACTCACGTTGGTCTCAAGAACCCCTCCGAACCCCCCAACCACCCTCCCAAGACAAGCTGCTGGGCAACTGCGTGAAGGCTATGACTGCCCAGACAGCACCTCAACAAAAACTACCACCACCCAGCAGCGCCGCAATGGCAACGAACAATGGTGCGAACGCCTGCGACGGGACAGCGTGGGCTGGCAGAATGAGCGAAGCTATTTTAAACAATGCCATATTGACTGGAGACATGAAATAGAAGAGGCGAGAACCTGTACCCAATCCTTTCTCCGTGTTCCACTCTAGAAGTTGATGGCTGTCCTACGCATGCTCCGCGCTACGCATACGGTCAGAAACTGTTGCTTAGCGTGCCGAGGCGGCGGCGCCTGCGACACGGTATGTATGCCTTTCAAACTGCAGAGTGCCGCTCTGCATCGCGGCACGAGGGCCTAAGACAAACTTTGGACTTTGACACTTGGGGACCGGGACGTGCCCCGCGTGCTGCGCCGAAGCGTGGTGGGCCAGAGCCGGCGGCGCGACACGCTCCGCAGAAGTTCCTGACCGTATGCTCTGTGTCCACAAGGAACCCTGTAATGGATAGGTGGCGGGAGGAGGCCAAGAAACTGGCGCCGCCTCCATGGTGGCACGCGCTCGTCGCATATCCCCGCTCTTGAGGTACGCCTTCCGGGAAGGCTGGGGCGAAGGGCGGCTCGCGCGGTCTCCCCCCTCCTGCGTTCCTCCTCCCCCGTGCGGCCTCTGCAGAGCACGACCTGAACGGGCTGACACCTTTGAGTGCTGCAGGACAGGCTGAACTTGATTCGGGTACCGAACTATGTCTTCGTCGCGGCGCTGGCGAACGCACGGCGCGCTCGGAGCCTAAAAAGGACGCGAAGAGGCGAAGTGACACACAGGAAGCGGGCGAGGAGGAGGAGGAGGAGGAGAAGGAGGGCGGCCGTGGGAGAGGTACGGTGCCCGCGCCTCTAGCAAGGCCTTCTCCCAAACGGCCCATCATGTCTTGCAGAACGGTTAGAGGCGCGGCGCCAGCCCCCTTAAGACGGCGGCATCCTCAGAGGTTCCCTGGGCGCCGCTGACAGACATGGGCACAGAGCCTGTCATGCCACACGGCGTACAGCAGACGGGGTCCGACCAGCCCGTGAGTTGTTGTACACATCTTCCACGGCTCCTCATATTCGCTCCTCCCCCCCCCCGTATTGACAGTCTCCCTCCACCTCCTGATGGGCCTCTTTTCCACCACCACCACCATAAGTTGGAGGGGGAAGGAAGAGGAGGATCAGGAGGAGGACGACGAAGAGGAGGAGGAGGACCCCCTCCCCCTCCAACTTATGGTGGTGGTGGTGGAAAACAAACCCATCACGTCCCTCTCTTGGGGGGCATGCCAAGGCGAGCGCCACCGACTGGTTCCCCAAACGCCCCCCACCCCCCCCCCGGCCCGACCCCGCAACTATCAAATGTTGCGCGCGACGGCCCTGAGGTCCGAACTGTGTTGATGGGTGTGTTTTCCACCACCACCGCCATAAGTTGGAGGGGGGGGGTCCTCCTCCTCCTCCTCCTCCTCCTCCTCCTCCTCTTCCTCCTCCTCTTCGTCCTCCTCCTCCTCCTCCTCCTCGCCCTCCTCCTCCTCCTCCTCCTCCTCCTCCCCCTCCTCCTTCCCCCATCCAATTTCTGCTGGTGGTGGTGGTGGTGGAAAACAGGCTCGTCATGTGCCACGGGACTTCCAATCCCCGGGAGCTGTCCAGGCTGGGCGTACGAGAGCGAATCGGCTGTGCGCGGTACGACTGCGAAGGGAAGGGACCCAGCAACGCTCCTGACATAGGCCTCGATTTCAACGGAGTTCGACAGCCGCGACGGGGCAAGGGACGCGAGAGGTAGTGAGCACGCGCCCTCGCCCCCCCCACACCGCAACTGTGGTTCCAGACTTGATCACGATCCTGAAGCCGATCCTCACGACTAAAAGCGGCCCTCCCCGAGGGCCCACCCGCCCCACCCTCCCTCCCAAACCTCCTGCGGAGTAAACTAAAAAACCTTGACGCACAACATGATGGGAATATGAACGGCAATCTGGATGGCGGTTTGGTTGTTACATGCGCGGGTTTCAAGTCGAAGACGAAGCTGAAACGAGGATCAAATCGGGTGAGGGCACATCGAGAATCTCTGATATCTGGCGGATATGGCGGGTGACTCTTTCGCCGCGGCCTTCTAAGAGTGTTTTGGGGCGCCTTGAAGATGTCCTGGACCAAATTACAGTCCCTTCCCAAAGGGCACCTCATTCATGCCGGACAATATTCTGCGGAATCCTTGGGGCTCGAGCTGTGAACGAGCAAGCGACTTGATGTGTCAAATCGTTGGAGGTCATGGGTCCTCTCGCGGACGACAATCGGTCGGACAATGGGGGGTGGGTCGGAATGCAACGGAATCGCCCAACGGAGAAATCGACGTCGGTTTCGGCTCGTGTCGAGCATGACGTGCGTGCGGGCGGGGCGCAGCTGCGCGAGTCCGCGCTTTCGCAAAAACCAAATCAAACAACAATGCATCGCCCAGGCCCCACCATGCCGGTGGATGCGGGTTGTACCGGTGGCTGTCCCGATGGTTGTCCCGATGTTTGACCCCACGGTTGTCCTCATGGTTGTCCCGATGGCCACCCCGATGGTTGCACGGCTGGTTGTCCCGATGGCTGTCCCGATGGTTGTCCCGATAGTTGTCTGATTGGTTGGCCCAACTGGTCCTGCGAGGCAGTAGTGCAGAAACGCGCGCTACGCGAGATTATAACAGATGCGCCCTGCGAGGACGTAGTGCTACACGCATGCGCCCTGCGAGGCAAACTTATGAAAAACGCGTCCTGCGGTGCAAACAATACAACGTCGTTATACATATTTGAACGGAAAGGTTGACAAATGGTGAGAGATAGAGATCCATTGACAATGGTAAGCTTGTATGTATCCGGCACCGTGCCCTGAGGCACGAATTGGAGCGTCCTCAGGTAGAGGTTGCAAAGAGGTAGGCGTGCTGGTGGCCTTGCCTCTGCCGGCGCACCAGTGGCGCGTAGCCCTCAAATAATTGAATAATTAAGCCGAACCCCGCGGCCAAGCCTGGCCACAGGCAGCAGGTTCCTTCGTGCTCGGGGCATGCAAATCTAAGATGGCCTGACATGGACCCCGAAACAATCCTGGAGCCCTCTTGGGCGCATCCTGGGCCGTCGTGGAATCCATCGTCCAAATCCAATGGTGTTTGCAATGGAATTCAGGGCGCGTCCAAGCCGGCCCGAGAGGCGCCCAGGATCGTCCCAGAACAGCCCAAGAGCCCCCACTTCAAGAGGGGCCCCAGAGGCCCCAGAGAGAGCCCCAAGAGGGCGGCCCTACGCCCCAAGATAGCCCCAAGAGGCTCCCAGAGGCGCAAGAGGCGCGCCAAGGCACACCAGACACCCCTCCAAGAGGCTCCCGAGCAGTCTCCCAATGGACCCTCAAAAGCATCCAAAGGGCCTCTGACCGACAACCAACCACGGTAGCGGGAAGGGGTGAAGGCCACCAGAAGCGTCCCCGTGACAAGAACGAGCCACAGCCCCCCTGGGGTCGTTTTGTTTTTTTGTTGCGTGGCCTGTGTATGCCACAACAGGGCGGGGAGGCGGCGAGGCCGAACTTGATCATCCCCCAGCAAAGATCCAATCATAGCTCTGATCTCCACATCGTGCACAGCACAACTTAAGGGACTCCCTCCAAAATGGACCAACGTGCAATTACACCATAGCGTGTCACAGGTTTCGTTATCCTTGCATACCTGCAGGAAGGCCCCCTAAGAGGGGCCAGGGTATCATTATGCCATCGTGTTTCACAAGACTCGTGCTCATCCAACTCCTCCAAAACAGGCCCTCTGGGGAGGCTTCGTCAGATCACCTTGGAGGTCATGCAACACCGATCCAGACATCCCAACACCGACATATATATATATATATATATATGTACATGTGGCGAAATCAGTATCCTCCCCAAACCCCGAAGTTGATTCCCTCAATGGGCTGATTATACGAGGTGCGGGGATATATACGTAGATGTACATGTGCATACATGTAAAATTGTAGCTCTAGATATACATACGTTGTATATGGTTCATGCAAATTTCGATATGTCTGTATACACACATATATATATATACATATTCCCCAATCTGAGTTTGCCTCTGTAGGGGTCCTAGCGGATAGAAAGCTGAGGTGAGGTCGGTGGCCGATTTCGGTGGCCGGGGCCGGGTGCCCGGGTGCCCGGAGGTGCCCGGGTGCCCGGGTGGCCGCCGATTCGGTGGCCGGGCCCGGGTGCCCGGGTGCCCGGGTGCCCAGATGCCCGGGTGACGGGTGCCCGGTGCCCGGGCGGGTGCCCGGGTGCCGGGTGCCCGGGTGCCAGGTGCCCTGTAGCCCTATAACCTTATAGACCTATATCCTTATCGCCCTATAGCCCTATAGCCCTATAGTAGACTTATAGCCCTATAGCACAATAGCCAAATAGCCCTATAGCCCCAAACAAATTCGGATTTGGGTTTTTTCTCCGGTATCACACATATATATATATATGTACGACAGAATGCAGTATACACAGTGTCAAGGCTATTGTTCCGACAAGTGCCCCGAATAGGAAGAGTGGTATCGGAAGGTAGGTAGGTGGTGATATTTATCGATGGGCAACGAAGCAAAACGGGAATGATGCCGATGGGTAGACGGAACATAAATAAACATATGGTTGGTGAGACAGATAGGTAGATGAAGCTAGACGGAACGACAATGATATACACGTGGGTCCATACATTAATGGCCAGGCATATTGATGTATACTTAATTATCTTGCACAGGGTGTCTAGAGCTCCGACCACTTTATTCCGCGTCGCACACACACACACACCCTCCCCCGCGTCCCCAGCGCCAGAGTGGGACCCCCGGCCGTGGCTCTTCGCCCCGAGCCCCCCCGCGTCCCCAGCGCCCCAGCGGGAGCCCCGCCCACTGCCCCCTCCGCCACGAACGCTGTATTCCGCGACGAACACCCCCCCTCCCCCGCGTCCCCAGCGCCAGAGTGGGACCCCCGCGCCGTGGCTCTCTGCCCCGAGCCCCCCCGCGTCCCACCGCCCCACGTCCCTCCGGCTAAAGGTCACTCTCACGTGTAGCCGATCAGACCGCCCTGGGGACATCAAGAGGCTCCGACACCACTCCTCCCCAGATCTCTCCCGGGGCGCGTTCTGACCAAAGTTTCGTGGCGAAGCCAACGGTGGCGACGAGGGCCTCCCAGGAGGGCGAAAACAAGGGGGAAACGGGCGAATGGTAGCGGTATGGGTCTTCTCCTCAACCGACACTCCCCCTCTCAGTGAGAAGCCCCAGGCAGCCACTCCGACCACGCCAGATGCTCCTCCCCAGACAGGGGTGCGTTCTGACAAGAGTTTCGTGGCGAAGCCAACGGTGGCGACGAGGGCCTCCCAGGAGGGCAAGCAAATAAGGGGAAACGGGTGAAGGGTAGCGGCATGGGTCTCTCCTCCGCATCCGACACCCCCCTCTCAGTGTGAACCCCCGGGCAACCACTCCGACCTCGGGGATCTTCTGGCCCGGGTCAATCCAGACCCGGGTCAGCAAGAAACCAACAAACTGCAATGCAGGAAGAAACAACTGCAACGCAGGTCTTCGCAAACCCAGGTCAGCCAATATGCGCGGCCGCCTCGCGGCCCTGAGCGGCTCGCTGACCCGGGTCAGCCAGAAGGGGGTCTTCACGGGATCCTGGAGGATCTGGTGCCCTGGCTGACCCCCGTTTGCATTGACCCCCGTCTCTTGAACCCCGATGACCACGCCGGATGCTCCCCCCGGCGCGGGCTCCCGGTCCCGCCGGGCCGCCAAAAATAGTCAAAGAATCGTCCCCTGACTATTTTTTGGCTACCTTTGAACATTCCTCCTGTAGAGGGACACGTCCGACTTGACGCCAGACTCTCGGCGAGCTCTCCGCCGCGCTGCTCGCTGCCGCCCCCGGGGGCGGGGTGCCTTGAGGATTGTGTTGTAGGTGATCACGTCGGCCACCCCGTCCGCCTGGAGGCTCGCAAGGGAAGGCGCCAGCGGCACTTGAACAGGGACCGACCGTCTCGTCATTCCTATAATTAGGCCCACCGCGAAATGTTCGTAAAACCCAAAAATGTCCGCCCCCCCTTCCGCATCCGCTCCTCATCCCCTCCTTTTCCTCCTCTTCCTCCTCCTCCTCCTCCTCCTCCTCCTCCTCCTCCCCCTCCTGCTAAAAACAAAAACAAGTTTCTTAGAACATAAACAAGATGTGTTAAAGCAAGACAGCCCCCGGCCAGGCTCCGGATCGGCATGCATACGCCCTCCTGGTGTGCCTGTGGAACGCATGCGCCCTGGTCCTGGGCCCAGGATCAGCCTGGCCAGGATCTGTGTAGGTGTGCACGGCGAGAACATTTGTGTTGCTTCTCACTTCGAGGGCGGCGAGCCGCCCGTGCTGAATTCGACGATGCAAAACAATTCTGGGCCAAACTCGCTGCCCACTCGCGCGCCGCGGCCTCTCGCGCATGCAGCCCGCGCGCCTTCTGTCGCGCCGCCTGGCCCCTGGCCCTGGCCGCCTCGGCCGAGCCGATCACCTGGTCCCCTCCACGTAACCACGTACGAAGGCCTGAACCCCGTGTACAGTGAGAACACTGCATCAGGAACCCTTCGATGAGGAATCCAGAGTCCGAAAGCTGGTGCGACACCAATCGAAACTGGACCACGGATACTGCCGCCGCCCTCACGTGATACAATGAGGAATCCTCCGGGGTCTGAAGCCTCCCGGGCACAATCCGTAGCTGGCGCCCTCCGAGAACAAGGATCGGGGGCGCAATCGCTCCCCTTCTTGGACACCTCTTGCCCGCTCTGGGCCTCGGAGGCCGCTGCGGAAGTCCGTCCAGGAAGCCTCCCGTGACCTCCACAGACATCCAAGGACCCAGACCTCCGACCCTGTGCATGTTGAAGAGAACCTTAAATACGCTTTTCCTCGGATTGGGCCTCCGCCGGGGTGAGCAGAAAGTGAAGATAAAACATGGGTCGGTCAAGATAACGCCCAGCGGCTGGAGGAGGCGCAGGAGGAGGAGGAGGAGGAGGAGGAGGAGGAGTGTGCAGCACTGTGCCGGCGATGACATTCGCCAGGCTTGCTAGTCTGATGATCCCCCAGTGCCGACCGGCCCTATAGGAGGAAGGGCCCTGGGGGCGTGGAGGGCGGTGCCTGCACGACTCGAGCGCCTTCAGTCCACAGGTCCACAGGAGGAGTGCCAGTGCCCTGGAGGCGACGCGTGTCTCGAGAGCCGCCACTGCTGCAGCGAGACGAGGGCGGAACGCGAGACGCTTCGCGCCACAGGCGGGAGCGGTGCAGCCCGACTCGAGTGGAGCCACGAGTGGGGAGGGAGAGGAGGAAATGGACTCGCACATCCTTTCCCGATTGGATGTGTTCCCTCTCCCTGACCACGTCGCCAGAGAGGTGACCTCTCCCATCTCATCCACCCATCCGTCTGCGATGACCAGTGGCCCCACCGCCCCATCAGCCATGGCGACACTCGCCCTGGCAACGAGGAGTCAAGAGCAGCGCCATGACGGCGCATCGGTAAATCTGATCTGCACTTCTCGACGTGTGCGTGCCACCCCTTGCGCAGGCGACTTTCACAAACCTCTCTCCATCGTTCCAGTCTCGACAAAAGAATGTGCCCTTCCAGAGGTCCCCGCGCATGTCTTTTGGACCGTCGCAGAACCCCCTCCGGGGCCTGCGCGCTGGACAGGATGTGCTCCGCGCTGCGCATGTCGTGGCACCCCACGCACACGTCCTCGGGAGGCTGAGGGGGGGAGAGTGCAAACCGAGGCCACGAACGGGACAACATCGGATCGGGACACATCGGAAATTCTCTGAGATCCGGCAGTTTGGGAAGATCCGTCGGGCGCCGCGGCGCTTCCAGAGCGCTCTGGGACGCTTTGGAACCTACCCCGATCCTAGGCCTGACTGACAGTCCGAGGCGGACGTATATCCGTGACCACCGCCTGGGGGATCGATCTTCGGAGACCTCGGCAGTCGGTGGATCGATCGATCTCACTATCAATATCACGATCGATGCTACTATCGATCTGACCATGGAACTCACTATCGAGCTCGGTATTGATCTCATCATCGGTCTCACTATCAATTTCACTGTCGATTGTACTGTCGATTTCACT